AGATCTACCAGAACACATATTTTCAACTAGGATGAGAGTCGTGGACAATGCTAGCCAGCTTGTTGTAAAATTTCATAAATTGCTTTCGTTAGTTGATCAAATTTATCATTTCATGTTGTCAATCTAATTGAGATCAACCTTATTCAATTCATAGGCCGTTTCTAAGGGAAGACAAGGTAGGGAGGCACAGAACTTGGTTAAGGTAAATTTGTAAATTCCCTTTTCCACCCCCTACCCTTACCCCGTTGCAGTTTTAACTGCAATATGAGATCTGATCGCATCCCATTCAGGTGTACCTGGCAAACCTTCGCCTTAAGGAAGTTGGGACAGATATTCTCGTGACTGCATATGAGCCTTTATTAATAAAGTAAGTTGGGAGCTAACTCGGTTTACACCTGGTTATTTAAGCTATGAAGTCAATTAGGCTTTTTGTTTAACGTTTTCATCGTTTACCTTTGTGATTGTAGCCCCTTGAGTGAGAGTGCTAGCACAGTCGGAGCTGGCGTAGCTGTACCTGCTGCACAATCTGGAATTATGCCGATGGCTGAGGTTTTTAAACTTGCAGTCCCTAGTTTCAAAGTTCATGATTGGAGCCTCTTTGGTACTGCCACTCGAGGTGTAGAGTGATTTAAAGAATCGCAAACAGTCACACAAATCTAGCATCTCTTTGAGTATTATTGGTCCATTTTTCAATGGCATATCTGTTCTTTGTTATTCTGTTAATTGCTTAAAGAGTTCCTGTTGTATAGAGTAGTTTGGTGCACAATTTCTACTTTCATCTTTTGTTCAGGATTGTTGTGTATAGTGCAGTTGCTTTCTTTGGATAAAAGCAGCAACCAATATGACCAGATGTCTCTTGACTTCTAAATATCACATGCAGTTGAGACAGATAGCATAGTTTCAAATATAACTAGGAGGAATGTGAAAATAAATGTAATAAATAACTTGAGAATTATTGAATTAACAATCAGTTAAGTCTATACTACTATAAATGCGTGAAATGTTTATTGACATCTACCTTTCAAATATTAAATTAAGCTACATTTCGTATGTGATACAATTGCAATAGAAAAAAGAAATATTAAAGTTTGAATGAGCTAAAAGTTAGAATTTTGAAATCTACTCCGATTTAGAATAGTTCTGGTATTTTAGTGACTTGGTGAGCTAGTTTGCACACTCCCCTGCGCTATTCGTTGTACTTAAGTAATTTTTTCTAAACTAACACCGGGGGCACTTGATCTCTTCATCATTTTCCTTTTATTTAGGAGTATTTATTTTCTTTACAACTTTGATGTAGTACTGGTTCCTAAAAGGTTTAATTAGGTAAGTGTCATAGTGTTCCCATGATTTTACTTCCTTGGTTAAGACTAAAATTTATATCTATCTAACTATATTTATATTATATTAAAAGTACGAATGTCTTTAGCGAAATATCATTCGCCTTTTTACCCTTTAAAGACAGAGTTTACACTAAATAAAATAATAATTTTATTAATTTTCTAATATTTAAAATTTTGAAATCAACTAAAATTTTATTTATTAAGATTTTCATATTTAAAATATTGTGTAAGAAGTACTAGTATTTAGGACATTAAAATCAACAAAAAGAAAATTCATATATAATTTGAAGACCTGATAGGTCCAATAAAAGAATTAATTATGACATTGAAATACGTTTTAGGAATGCAAATTTCAAGTTTTAATATCTAACTACAAAACATTATATTTGGATTCAAGTCATTAAAGGAAAAATTTGAAGAACAACTACAATTATTTTAATTTGACAAAAATAACTAAGTACTGTTATTGATCTTCTGTTATTTGTTTCGGTCCAGTACTACCGATTATACTAAAACTGAAGTTATATGAGGAATTCAAATTAAATTAAACAATATACGACTAATATAAGGGAATTAATTTATATTTATTGGTAATCAAAAGCATTTAAATAGGTAAAAATATGGTGGATTTATTAGTGATATGAAACATGTATTTTAACAACAAGAACTCCAACCAAACAAATAATTGTTCAATCTCAGAAATCAATTGCAATGACGATAAACGACTACAATTACAGCTTTATTAGTACTGAAGTTACACTAATCAATAAACTCACAAAGTTTACTAGCAAAATTAATTAAGTTCTGCTTAGTGGAACGGTACTTTCTAATATTCGAAGGCAATAAATTTTATTGGTATTTGACATAAAAGGGAAAAGCAGGAAAAAATAAGTTATTGCTTCTTTTTTACTTGGTGATTTAGACTTTCATTCCGTGTTATTACTAGAAAAGATAGTTGCCTAACTCATAAAATTAAAACCCTATATCAAAATTGTTCAAAGCTATGTTTTAAATAAAAAGGACTAAAATCAAATCACATTAAATCTTTGTTTAATAATAATAACTATGCGTATATTGTTTGTATTTATAACTATAAATGTACATGAATCTATTTATCTATCTTATTTTAATAAGAAAAATATGTCATACAAATTGAATATAATTTTTAACTTTTAGTAATATTTATTGATATAGGTACACGGCGTATCCTAACGCTAGTAAAGCAAAAGACATGGAAACACAGAAATTAAGATCATTACAATCCCAAAGATAAAATAAATAATGAGAAAAAAGAACATAGTGTAAAATATAAATTTTGAACCCACTAACTAATATACTGAATTCGCCTCTGCTTACCTACTCCAAGCTCAACCAGAAAGGAAAGAAAAAGGAATATGAATATGATTTCCTTTCTTTTGTTACAAAAATAAGCTGCGGCCTTCCCATTAATTACCAGTGAAATATAGTTTTTGATGGAACAGGGCAAAAAAGGCTATCTGTAGGCAGTATTCCTGTATAAATTGTCGGATCCTCAAAAANTATATATATATATATATATAAGTAATTTTTTACTTATATACATAGCATAAATTTTTATATACTCAATGTAATTTTCCAATCACTCTATGTGGCTTCGCCACTGTCTGTAGGTTGTGCTCCAAGTCAGTCGTAACTGGTATAGATGGATAAAATAACGGGAAACTACCAGCTATGTTCATTTATAAGTAACTCATTACAAAAATTGGCCAATTTATAAAATATTAGCTATTTGTAGCAAAAAAAAGGTCTAATTTTTGCTTTCTTTTGAGTGAGTATTATTAGAATAGACTAGGTACGTCTTAAGAGCTCGAATCTCAGTTTTGAGATGATTTGGTGGAGTTTTGAGCTGGTTTGAATTGAAAATTCGAAGTAAAAAATGAACATGAAAAAAATGATACGTGTATCACATGTATACCTGTGTGTGAGATACATGCGTCGCAGAAGGATTTTTTGAACTCGATTTAGTTACGAATTTTGATACCTAACCAGTCCAAATCACCTCCAATCTTCCTCAAATTTTGTATATTGACTTATCTATATGTTTTCAATGAATTTCAACTATACCCATTGAAAAAGGTCCCTTTTTGCTTAGATTTTTGGAATATTGTATATATATTTTATCACCTTATTTGCTACCTCATCCATGAAATTTTCTTTTCGTCTTGCATCTAATGTCGCTAATCACGCTTAAAAATATGGAAAGAGATTTTTGCGTGTGATTCTTTGAGAGAAAGAACCTTATTTATTTGATTTTTTAATTTTTATATGTGTTTGATTAATTTTGATTAGTGTATGACTAATGGCCAGAGCAACTTCTTTTGAAGAACTTTTGTAATGGCAAAAGAGAATCTGAGTATTACCAACGAAATAATATTATGAATGTTACTATTAATACACACATTCCTTCTTGTCTGGTCAATCTGAAAACGAAAAAAAATTGATACATGCATTCTGCTGCTTCTAAATGGTTTCAATTTTTGTTTTCTTCTTCCAAACCCAAAATATATACTCCCACTATTCAAATTTATGTGGCAGAGTTTGATTGGTACGAAACTTAAGACAGAAAAAAAGACTTCCGGAACTTATGTTCTTATATATGCCATGAAATTTCTGTGGCAATGAAAGCATTCCATTAAGTAAAATAAAAAACTTTAAGTTAATTATTTTTGAATATAGAAATATGACATTCTTTTGAACAGATTAAAAAGAAATAGTGCCACATTAAATGGAATAAAGGGAATAACTCTTTTACTCGCAAGCACTTAAAAACTAGAGTTGGAAATGAGTGCTAATGAATGACACGTAGTACTACCCATGAACTTTGATAAGCTAACCGCAATTAATCATTTTAGGAAACTTACAAAAATGTCCCAAATAAGTCTTAATTTATCAACCTCCAACCATTAGTCACGGACTTACAAAAAATTAGCCAAACACATATAAAAATTGAAAAACCAAATAAATAAGGTTCTTTCTCTCAAAGAACCACACGCAAAAATCACTTTCCATATTTTTAAGTGTGATTAGCGACATTAGATGCAAGACGAAAAGAAAATTTCTTGGATGAGGTAGCAAATAAGGTGATAAAATATATATACAATATTCCAAAAATCTAAGCAAAAAGGGACCTTTTTCAATAAGTATAGTTGAAATTCATTGAAAACATATAGATAAGTCAATATACAAAATTTGAGGAAGATTGGAGGTGATTTGGACTAGTTTGGTATCAAAATTCGTAATTAAATCGAGTTCAAAAAATCCTTTTGCGACACATGTATCAAACATATATCACGCATGTATCTCACACACACATATATACATATGATACACAATTGATACAAATATGATACATATGTGATACACAATGTGATACACATTATTTTTTACTTCGAATTTTCAATTCAAACTAGCTCAAAACTCCACCAAATCATCCTAAAACTTAGATTCAAGCTCCTTAAGACGTACCTACTCTATTATAATGTAAAAAGAGTTAGGCTATTAACATAGTTTAACCTGTAATGGCAGGTTAATTGCATTTTACTAATGTGAAAAAATGGACATTGGACCTAAATATTAAAATGAATCTTGGATTAACTTGAGATGAGTATTGCCCAAACCATATAAGAATACCAAAACCACATCCCACAACCAATGTGGAACAACTTAACAACCAACTATTTAATTAATGTTTATCAATATTTTTCACATCGCCAGCACAAAAAAGTTGAACTCTTGTATTATCAACTAAGACACAAACTTCTCATTCTTTATGTGACTTCATCCCTGACTTTCTACTAGAAATGTAAACAAAAGTTGAGGAGTGCTTCCACATGACTTGTAAAGGAGGCCTAATAGTAGATTAGCTACTCCATGTTTGTCAATGGTAGTAAATAGTAGAGCTTGATTTGCCAAACTAGGACTGAATGAATCCTGAATAGCACACAAATTTAGCCAAACAATAACTAAACATCAACCTTGTAAAACTAAAACAGAATAGTTTCAAACTAGCTTTGGAATATTAGATCAAAACAAATGTGATTATTATCTCAAATTTTGTAGGGAGAGAAGTTGAGCCAAAATAGGCTCTGACAGAGCTGTGAAATCCCAAACGAACGAATATTGGGGTGAGTTTTCAGATTGATTAGTGAATCATTTCGTCAAAGGGATACAGTTTTGGATGATCTTGCCCTCTGCCACTGCCTTTGTGGAGATGGGGAGGAAGTAGCGTCTCATATGGGGTTTTCTTATTATAATGGAATATCGTAGCTGATTACTGAATCACTATGCAGAACTCCTAGCATGAAGCTTATTAAAAGCTGCTGCAGCTTAACTTTATACTTTGGAATTGAAAGATGATTGATGGAGAATATAATGATCACAAACAACAATATTTTGATGCTTCCCTCTACAAGTAATACTTGATTGTAGTCTAGTTCTATCTGCCAGTTATGAAAACAACAGTGAGATATTAGTGACGTTTATTAACAGGATATACCGCTTTACAAGGAAATGAAAGGAAAAAGGAATAGAGGTTCTTTTGCTTACCACCCAAATGACTGAGCCACTAACAAAAAAACTATGCCGATGAGAGAATGCGGTTCTGTATATCTGCAAATGACTTCACGTCTACACCCCATAGCCTGAAAGACATATTTTTGTGAATGAAAATTTCTTAACCAGATGACAAGGTCGTACTTTCTGTATGATTGGTAAAAAGTAACAGAAGACTTTCTTTAAATGCTTTTCCTGATAACTGGTATTCAACAGTATCTCCTATTAATAAATGTCACTAATATCTCACTGATGTTTCCATAACTGCAGATAGAACTTGAATACAATCAAGTATTACTTGAAGAGGGAAGCATCAAAATATTGTTTCTCGTGGGTGATCATTACGTTCTTAATCAACTATCTACCTATTAGCTGTTGAATACCAATCATCATGTTAACAGTTAAAATGATGGTTTTGATGCAGCAACTACAGCATTAAAACTAGTTTCTTTTCTTTCTTTTCTCTTCGCGCTAGATATTAGCTATAGAAATTGTGAAAATTTGAATAAAGCAAGGCATTCAAAAATTACCAGCAGTCAATTCCAGCAGCATTTGCTCCTCCTTTGTCAGCCTTTTCATCATCTCCAACATGAACAGTTTTTATTGCTTCTACACAGATCTGATCTACAACACCGCAAAACATGATAAGGTCAATCATTTTATAGCCTATTTCAGTATATTTGACAAATGAGTTAATATCAAATTATAGTTTTAATAAGCCATAACAGAACAAGAGAGAGTTGTTAAAAAGTCAATTAAAAAGTTAAACAAAACTAAAGTAGAGACGCCTTCTATCATCATGCTAATGAAGATATATTAGTTTTTGAAGCACATACCTAGAGCAGCTCTAAATATCCTTATATCTGGTTTTTCATAGCCAACCTCTGAAGATATGATGACGGCATCAAATCTACAAAATAACATATAAATGAAACATCTTCAAAATTTCAAGCAGGAATCGACCCTGCCATTTCATACAGATGAGAATGCTGTGTAAGTTATAGGTTTGAATTCATAAAACTTTTTCCAACTCTTTCAAGGCTAAAATTTAAGAGCATTTGAAATGGGGTATTGGCATTCATAACCAAGTAACATAATTGACTACCGACATAAAGTAGTTTAAGCTCGGATTGTTCTTTAACAAGGGGAAAAAGTATAAGAAGGTATTGATGCTTACAGATCCAACACATTCAGCTCTTTCAATATCTTCGTCAACCGGGTGTCAAAGTTGGATACAACAGCGAGTTTGACTGTCCAAGATTCAGTACTTCAGAGACAACAGGATTGACAAGAAAAGTTCAATAAGTAAATCTTATATCAGAAGCAAAGTAATGCAGATACGTGATAACCTCCGGAACGTTTCAGAATTGATATGGTGTCATAGGCTCCAGCTGGAAGATGCCATGCCTCACCACTTGCATAGTGCTGGTGAAAGCAAACACTTCAGCTAAAGCAGTCACTGATAACTTCCGATTTCTGTAATGTGTTTTAGAATTCAACTAGCACTAGCAATAAAATGACCTGGTATACTTCTTCAAAGTAAGTATCTTCGCTACAACCAGTTGCTTCAGTTACGACAAGCTTCCAGAAAGGTCGTCCATCATCCTGTCAGTTGCACTTGATCTTCAGTTGATTGATAATTCCAAAGGAACAGTAAACTGTGATGAAAATATGAACTTCTTAACCAATAATTTTAGGTATTTTTAATATTTTAGTGGATGGACATTCATCTAGAATTTTCTGAATGAGTAAGAGACAATGGAGGTTCAATGGCCACAACTTTTATGCTTCAAAATGAAAAACCAAATAAATCACTCGATAGGGCACCACCCTATTCATACAGAATATGCAGAACACACTTATAAAGTACATATCAAAAGGACCATTTTCCATAAATAAGTAGTATACCTAGAATTCATTCATCTTTGTAAATTAGCTAAGGATACCTGCTTAATTTTCGTATTTAAGGTCCTCTGTCCACAACAGAGGCAGGGCTGCAGGGAAAATGTCAAATTACGTTATTTCCTAATTGTCACTCTCTTTGGCTAATTATTTCTAGAATGCTATGTGGAAGAACCAATTCATTACAAGCTGAAATGGGTTGCTATTATTTGCATGGGAGGAGGTCAGCGAGAGAAAGGCCCTCATTCCCCCCACCCCCACCCCCACCGCCCCAAAAGGAGGGTTATCACCAAGAACAAGACATATCTAACACAAGAATATAATTAGTTTGAGATAAACAAATAAGAGATATTAGCAAGCTGTCTTTTCACCAGCTAAAACATCTGCTGGTTTTGCATGTGACAAACGATCATGAAACCCAATGAAGTGACATTGGCATAATGACCTGATAACGTAGCTTCTCTGGCCATGGAGCAGCAAAAGCTCTTTTGAAACCTTGCTTTATTTCAGCTGGAGAAGTTGTCAGCCCTATAATTAGATAAAATATTTTAGCATTCTCTCTGAAGAAAAATAGACATATTAGCCTGCTCTCAACCTTCTGCGCTAGTTGACAATGTTTGCTTGAAGAAGAGGCTGGAATAACACATTTAAACCTCACCTCAGCATATCAAAAGAACTAATCTAAAGTTGCTTCCCACAAATTGCTGTTGTTTTATGCTGCACCAAAAATAGGACTTCATCTAGATGCTAGTGAAATCCAAGTACTAGTTGCTTGATCATTTAGCTAAATATCAAGCCAGGTTCTGCTAAAATATTGATTGGATATAAAGATAGCTACAGTCAAAATATATCTCCTTCTCTAGCAGCATAGAACCTACTAATAGAAGTTTCCTTAAACCTCTCAGAGTTGTATTATCATGCTAGTTGCGGTTAAAGCAAGTACAACTTGCAATAAATAGCCTCAAGAAAAGTGCAACACATGCACTTCTGAATTTGAGCTTGCGCCATAAAAAATAAGTCAGAATTCATAAATTCAGAACAGTTCTACTCTAACCTTAGACCAATATAGATGAGTGTACACACATCCCAAAAGAATGATAGGATTCGTAGTACAAGGATCAAAGCATGTAAAATTCAGTTGAATTCCTCAATTTAGAATAAATTTATTAATTCACATCATAAAAAGAATAATGTAAAATTACAAATTTATATCAAAATATTTAAGAGATGCTTAAGAAAATTACAAATAGTAATAGACTAATAGTGTCATATATAATGAGACTGAGGGCATTAATTCATTGTGTCATCAATAAAATGAAGCTCTACTTGACGGGCCAATTAAGCTTACATGACACACACAGACACACACACACACACACACACACACACGCACAAAGATTCTTCATTTGGTGTTTGGGGAGATGGAATACTAGACAAAAAGGAAGGAACCAACAAACCGTATTTCTTGCCAATGGAAGCATAAGTCTCTTCAACTGGATTTGTCAATTGCAAAAGTGTATTTGCTGCATCCAAAAGCAGTCCATCATATGCTCTCTTCCCCATTTCTTTCCCTGCCCCCACCAAAGAAATTCAACCTTAAAATTACACTATTCACTGCGCAGTCAGTTAATTGATACAGAGTTGGTATAAATATATAAAAATTTTAAGGAAAATTCAACTATATGTATATAATTCAAGCCAAGATTACATATTTAACTGTATTGGGAATTAAAGCATAAAAAGAAAGAGAAATGAACACTTAAACGAACCAGTGGGAATATTGGTAGACGAAGAAAAGGATGAGCACTGAACTGCGTAGGGCCCATAAAACTTTGCTCTGATTTTGAAAGGATTTAGACTTCTGAGAAGAGCACCGGCTTCCATTTTTCCTCTGTAGTTTTGCAGACGAGAACTACAATGCCAAAGTTCAATCTTGNCCCAAATTCCACTTTTAACTTGTAAGTTGTTACTAAACTATTTTATGTATGATGTATCATCACATTTCATGTTAGAGATATGAGAACTATCAATCTAACGCTTTAAAATCTTAGTTTGATAGAGACAACATTTACAATACAAATATACAAATATGTTAAATGAGTTTGACTTAAAAAAAATTTCTATTTCATTTTTTTTTCTTGTTTTTAATTTGCAAAAATTAACTTGCTTGAGACACTACTGCTTGATATGTCAACCTAGAATAACAAAATTTCTCTTATTTCTGTTTTTAATCAATTCATTTTAATATAACTTTTTAGTTTGCTAAATTTGACTGCACTGTTGCTCAATCTAACAAATTATATAGCTTAATGAAACTACAAATTTAGCATAATTAACATAATTTATTTCTCATACATTCAACTAGCAATTTATATACTTGAATATAGCTACAAACATATTCAAAAATTTTAAATAAGAAACTATACATACATATAAAATTGTAAAACATTGCAAATTTAGATTCACCATTCTAAGAAAGCATTATGAAATGGGTTATGAGCAGATATGATAAATTATGTGAATCACTCATGGTCTCATACACGCGTGGTACGCGCACAAATATACACTCATATACATATTACAAAAAGAAAATAAATTATATAAATGGCTAATAGGAGTGTACATAGGTCGGGTTGGTTCGAATTTTTTAATTACCAAACCAAATCAATTGTATCGGGTTATTAAATCTAAATACCAAACCAAACCAATAAAAGTTGGGTTTTTTTAATTTCGTTTTTTTCGGATTTTTCGGGTTTTCAGGTTTTTTCGGGTTTTTTTCCCATAATATTTTTATTACACAAAACATAAAAATTATGCTCCAAATATTTCTTTAATCCTAGTAAGATAGAACTATATAAAGTATTTTTCAATAAAATAACATAAATATGAGATGAGTCATGGCATTGTACTAAAATATTGAACAATAAAGATAGTAAAATCGCATAAAATAAATATTATTAATAATTCATAATGAAAACAAACATAATTTAAAATTACGACTAATAAGTACTATTTTTTACATGACTAACTACTAAAAGAAAAATAAGTTATACATTTTATCTAAACCATGAAAAAACTAAAAAAATATCAATGCTATTTTCATTCATAGTACAATTGAATTGAATGTCTTTTATTAGCATTAGTATTGATTTGATTTTGGTTTATGATTTATTTGAGTTACTAACATTTATGGACTATAAAACTTATTGGAGCATCCAAAAATTATAAGCCCAAGCTTGAAATAATACGTTAAAAGATAAAACTATGAAAAAGTTTAAGAATACTTATAAAATACACTACAATAAATATTTTTATGTATTAAATATATTTAAAACTTCTATACATATAATGTCGGGTTGATTTGGTTTCGGTTTGACTTTTTTTATTTAAAACCAAACCAAATCAAATATGGTCGGGTTTCTTTTTCCAACTCCAAATCAAATCAAACCAAATCACAGTCGAGTTTTTTTTCTCGATTTGACTCGGATTATCGAATTGGGGTGATTTGTCGGTTTCATTTGTAAACCTCTAATGGCTAATGCGAGAAACAACAATATGATATTAAAACCCCATTCTACATTCAACAATTAAAAGGTCGGCGAATCCAATCAAGATAGCCAATTGCGATAACAATGGCAAATTGATGAGTTTCTCATGTCATGTAAATCCTTAATGTATGGATTTGGTCAAAGTTAATTTTTCATATGAAAACTAACAATGAAGCAAAAATTTTATGTGCATAGCACACGACTCCTTTTCTGTAAAAGAAAAACAAGTTGGCCTTGTGTAACAATAAATTTTCGTATCGAAAAAAATAAATAATCAAAACTAAAAACCTGCATAACAAATGTAGTATTTGATTTCAATAAATGATAAGCATTACAATCCATATAGCATTCCTTTTATTCTTCGAGAATATAAAGTATCTTGACGAGCTTTTTGATTTGATTCAAGGGCTTGTAAAGCTTGATCTTGAATCTCCTTCTTGAACTTGAATTTGAATTTGATCACGAACAAGTAATTTGATCTTGAACGCCTTGGTATTTAATTTTCCTAATTCGTTCTTGATCTTGAACTTGTAGCTTGAGTGCTTGAACTTGTAGCTTGTAGAGAAACCATAACCTTTGATCCACGAGCTCTAAGTTTGCTTTTTGTTCTCAATTCTGGTGTCTTCTAGCTTTATGAAAACCTCTATTTATAGTTGTATGGAGTGATGTGGCTCTGCGATTTGATTGGTCCATTTGAACTTACCAATACCATCTAGACACTTGGCGCAACTCTATTGGTTGTTAATTTGACTTGGTATGCCACCCTTTCTTGACACATAGCATGATTTCATTGGCTCATTTATTTGACTTGGATTGCCACATCACTTGACACGTGTCATAATTTTATTGGCGCGTTCTTTTGACTTGGATTGCCACATCACTTGGCACGTGGCATGATCCTAGGCTTTAAGATGGGATAATAGCCATTTGGACATTGGGCTTAGGGGTGGCAAACGAGCGGGTCGGGTTGGATATGAGATGGGTCGAAGACGGGTAATACAAAAACGGATAAATTTTTTGACCCGACTCATATTTAATACGGATAAAAAATGGATTAACCGGCGGATAATATGGATAACCATATTATCCATGGCTTCTTGAATATGATCACTTTTGGGAGAATTCTTAGTCTCCCAAACTTGATGAACCCCCAATTTGAGGCTTTACAAATTTAAAAGTTAAACCCATTAGTTATCTATTGGTTATCTATTTTCTAAGTGCATAATATAGTTCTTATTCATATTTGATCCATTTTTAAATAGTTCATTATCCAACCCATATTTTAATGGATAATATGGATGGATAACTATTTCCTTTTAGAGGAATTTTCAGAAACCACTATTGTTTAGTGGTTATTAACTTCTTGTAGCTACCATATACATAATTACTTCCTATAGCTACTATTCATTTGTTACGCGATTGTATTTGCTGTATTCACGCTACTGTATTCATGAATACAATAGAGGAAATCGCCTAAAAAAACAGGGGAGTTCAGTTGTAAGCGACTGTATTCGCTGTATTCGCGCTACTGTATTTATGAATACAGTAGTGAAAATCGCCTAAAAATAGGGGAATCCAGCTGTTTAATGATGAAAAGAGGGTCAATTAGCGTGTATCACTCCTAATTTAACTAAACAGAATCAATTCTAAAAAAATTTCGCTGCTACTGTGATGTATTCCATGTATTCGCACGACTGTATTTATAAATACATTGAAGTAATCAAGAAATAAGGTGTATACTGTTCTATTCAATTCAACTGTATATATTGTATTCAATTCACAGATATTCATTATTCACTATTATACATTGTATTCAATTCACCGTCTTCAATTCGACTGTATTCAAACAACAAAAAATCACAAAACACAGTGATATTCAGTTGTATTCAAAAAATACAGACCTTCAGAATACATAAATACAGGTGAATAAATAATATATTTATACAAAAATGCAATGTATTTGAGTGTATTTTTATAAAATATAATATATTTGTATCATTGTATGTGACTAAAAAGCAAAGAAGAGTAGAAAGTAGAGCCGGCGAAATCCAAATAGAAGTTGTGGCTTTCGAGGAAGAAAAAGGCTTCGGGTTTGGAAGCAAAAGTGATTTCATAGAATGTGTTGACGAGTGCTTCTATTGTGGATCGACGGTGAGGTTTGCTTAATTTTTCATTTTTTTCTGTTGTTGCTTCTTCGTCTTTCTCTCCTTCTACTTCTATTAGGAGTAATAATATGTATTACTTATCCTTTTTCTCAAGAGGCAGAGTTTGGTATATATTCGTTTCTTCAGCCGAAGTTAAAGGTTTATGACTATGGCCAGATTTGAGGGATAAGAGAGAGATTGAAAATCTTGCTGATATAGAGAGAAGGAAGAGAGAGATAATGAAAGTATTTCACGTGTAAAATAAATATCTATTTTGCTATAAAATAGAAAAAGGTAGCTATAAGTAATAATATTTTGAAATTATTTTGGTTTATAATAAATAGGGTGTAATAGTTTGCTATAAGAGGTAAAATTTCCTTCCTTTTATCCATTTTGCCATCACTAATTGGGCTAATAAAGTGGGCTTATCATTTAGTTTGTAGTCCAATTAATGGACTAGCCCAATACATATATATTAAATTTAAATAATTAGCCAAATTTACTAGTCATAATATTTGTTTGGACTAATGTCTTGAATTTAATATGATCCAAATTATTTATGAATTTAAACCTGATAAAATTTAGATGCTTACAAATGCCCCTACTTCAAAATTTGTTGGGTGTAGACTTGTTGAACTTTCGAAACAAGGCTTGAAGTACGCATTTTAACGGGATTTTATCTCGTTCCAACAAGCAAATTAATATAATTTTCTTGAACACCTGTGATCACGCCTAACTTTGCCTTATAAAAAGGACTAAACGGTCATTGCAAATATAATCCGGTTAACAAGTACGGAGTCGAATCCCACAGGGAATTAACCTACTAAGCACAACTACTAGATTCGCACAAATCCACGCAATCAATCTTCAGAAATACTAAATAACAAATTGGATGTTTACTAACTAAATATCAAGTAATGAAAATGCAGAAATTAATAACTAACGATGAACATGTAGCAGATAAGATTTGGAATGATATAAGGTTATGATTTTCCCTATTGTCGGAATTCTATTTCCGCCATGTTTCCTATAAATTTCCCTAAGTTTTTCTCTACCGATCATGAGCTCTTTGAGTATCGTAATTCTCTTCCGAGTAACTATCACAATTTACTAGACATATTCTTCCGAACTACGCTAGTTGGCACTAAGTAAGGGCTCACTCAGATCGCACCAAGGTTTTGTTATTCCTAATCCCACATTTAAACCCTCCGTATTGATCTCTCACATACGTTAGGAGT